CCCTGTTTGGACCAACTCTTTGACAACCAATCAATCACTAACTTGGATAATATAATGCGCGCATAATTATATTGAGTTAGGAGTTTAGATTTATCTTTTAATAAGATCCGGCGTATTGAGAATTTATCGGATTGTGTGAATGTGAAGCAGTTAAGATTTGCGAGTAACAAGATCGAAGTAATGGAAGGGTTTGATGGTTTGGCAAAGTTGGAAGAATTGGAGTGTGGTAGTAATAGAATTAGGAATGTGAGTGGTATAACGAATGAGATGGGTAAGTCATTGAAGCAATTATGGTTAGGTCGTAATAAGATAGCAAGTATGTTATTACCTTATATGCCTGCATTAGAGATATTGTCATTTCAATGTAATCGTTTGGAGAATTGGGATGATGATTTATCTATTAAATGCCCTAATCTTAAAGAGTTATATGTCAGTGAAAATCATCTACCAAATCCACCATGTTCAATCATTGGTCTTAAACAACTTCATACACTTGATCTTGGTAATAATAAAATTCAAAAATTAGATTTCATTGGACAAATGATTTGGTTAAAAGAATTATGGCTGAATGGAAATGATATACAGGAGTTGGAAGAAGTAAGAAAGCTAAGTACTTTAGTAAATTTAGATACAATCTATCTTGAGCATAATCCCATTAAAGATCAATTGGGACCAGGATATAGACAAGCAGTATTAGATATATTACCAAGTAAGACTATACATGTACAACCACCATTACACCATTCATACACATCTTTCTTCTTTAGATCTGAAGCAGATTGATGCTATATATCTAGGACAAATTGTTGTTACATAAAACGCTCGAGTTGGCGGCTCCAGATATGTTCGTCATATCAGGGAGTCATGGTTGGACTTTCATTTTGTTTTACTTCAGTGACGTCATAAGCCTCACAGCTCGTAGCCATGGGCACTTGACTCAACGTACAGGTCACTTGACTCAACGTACAGGTACTTGACTCAACGTACAGGTCACTTGACTCAACGTACAGGTACTTGACTCAACGTACAGGTACTTGACTCAACGTACAGGCGGTTGTAACGTAAAACGGGTGGGGTGGTGTGTGGGCACGTTTGATACTAGGCGTCATCGTCGGCCGTCAGTCGTACGAGATTTTCTTGGAGAGATGCAATCACCTTTCTGTGAGTGCGGAATGCTTCACCAACGGATGACAGGTCTGCTTCACGGCACCAGGTCATAGGGACCCGCAAAAAGTCCATGCCAAAGGCAATGATCGCAGGACTTAGTGAACCCACAGGGACTCGAATTCGTGGTATGGAAGGATATCGTTGAGAGAAGTGCGTCATGATCAAGGCCCGACAACGGCTTGACAGACCGGCTTCCACGCAGTGACTTACTGTACAGTGTTTCCTAGCTACGGCCTCGTGCGCCAGCTCATCCTCGAAGGTGGCTTCGTGGATCAAAATATCGACGCCTTCGATGAGCCGACTGAAATCCGGTGTGGGACTCAAATCTCCGCTGAATCCGATGTCGATATGCTGACGGCAAGCCACACACGTGCTTGCGCCGCCAGAAACCAAATTGTCGGCGGAACTCACGGCGACGCGCTCATCGGTCATCTCCAGCAGCACATTCCCCAATTTCTGTAACTCGTCACAATGTGAGGAAGCAGGACCAGGAGTGACCCGAAAACGCGCTCCGAATGAGGTGGTACTAATGTTAAATCTCCCGACGTGGTCGACGTAGGCTGTCCGCAACAAAAGCGATAAGCCAGTTGATGTCAGAACCGGTGTCAGCCCAACCAAGAAATCTTCGCAAGCGATAAAGTGATGGGGAGCACACGTCCTGCGACACCAATCAAACATCTCATCAGGGGCCACAATAGTCAGCTTATCACAGCGCCGATCTCCGCGCTTATATTGATAATGAGAGAATTCAGGAAGGCCGTTGATATGATCCCCATGCTTGTGAGAAATGAACACGCAACGTATGCTCTGGACCAGCCGCTGCGCTTGCGGTGCACTCGTTGCCTGAAAAATTTGAACCAAGGTTCCTTCTCCGCAATCGCACAGCACGGAGAAATCGTCACCAAACCGAAGCAATGTTGAACTAACGTTCCTAAATTTCGACGGGACGGCTGCGCCTGTACCAAGAAGAGTTACAGAAAGATCAGCAGGAATGGAATCTGTAATCGCACACGTGTGCGTTAACATATTTTGACGCCGCAACTGCTTGAAAGAAGTTTCAAACGAGGCTAAATCTGCGTTGTTCTTCCTAATGCTACTCAGGAGGTCCCCAGAGACTTTATCGGCACTGGACGCAATATCCAAGCATTCAATACAGTCCATCTTATTATCAGAGCGTCCTCCAGCACGTTTTGTGACTAGAGCAGTGTATACTTTCGCCGATGGAATCATTGGTATTCTTCGGCCGAACCATGAAGGTTTCGGACACGTTATTTCATTGTGAGCGAATAAATCTGGTAGATCCGTACTGAGCGCCTTAATCAAAGCTTGCTGATCAATGAACGGGCTTGCAGGTATTTCGTTCAACGCTAACTGGGTGTTGATAAAGAGTATGGGTGGCGGTTGCATGTCTGACTCGAGTGGTTTGATACCTGACAAGTGCTCAGCGTAACAGCTATTTTCGGAGCATTGAACATTGACAATCTGATTCCTAAGATCGCCGAAAAGCTTACTACCAAGCAGTCGTTCGGGTACATTGGCCTCTGCGGAGGACATATTGATGATTAGCCCTCCTCGTGTGCCGAATTCTCGGCACCTTTGGGCGAACCCTGGAAGCGTTTGGATGCATCGAACGTCATCTTCGCCGCTGCAGTTCAGAATGATGTAGGGGACCCCTTCCACTGACGGTTCACAGACGTCGAGAGGCTGAATTACCCGGCCGTCTTTCAAGGTCACTGTTTCCCCAGACTTGAGCTTGGCGAAATCTTTACCAGGGGGGATGTTCAAGGCCTTCGCTTTCTCAACCAAAAATTTGCCAAGCTGCTTTCTACCCCGACCGCAAATTAACGGAATCGAGTAGACCCTAGACGGATTTCTAGTCCCTGATTTTCCGTCATTCTTCACTTCTTTATCATTCTCTTCCTCTCCATCATCATTTTCCTTATCTCCACCATGAGCATTCTTTTCTCGACCATCCTCCGTTTTTTCGCCGTTTTCTACTATGTCATTTTCTTCTTCCAGTCTCCGTTTCTTCGGCAAGGGATTCCCTGGGTCGGGGGAAGCATCATTGCTAACCCGCGTACATGTGGCCGACTGGACGTAGAGTTCAAGGCAAGGGTCCCATCGACTTAGCAAATTCGGAACCAACGGCATTCCTTCTGAAAGTTCTGGAATTTCGACAATCTCCAAACACAGCTTCCTCAAGCGAGCTGTGAGCCTCAGCGACGGGGAGAGCGCTTTATAAAGACCAGGTGGTCCCCATACCCGGATGAACCGTAATGATTGCCTGAGTTTCTTGTATATATCGAACGTTTGATCCGTTCCAACAGTTTGGTTGGGAGCATGACTTTGCAAGTCAACGCCTCTCCACCAGAGTTTGTACATCACCTTATTTGAGGTATACTCTCTATCAAACAAGTAAGCTGCAGAACCCTCGGTTTGCTGCCATCGCGATTGCGATTGTCCATCACCAAACACCCGTGAAAAATCTATAAGATGGCTGTATTCGTCCTTACGCTTCTTCCAAGCCCCTACATCGAACGTACTTGACTCAATTCCCTCCAACGTCAAACACAAGCCAACCAACCCGGCAATGTATTCGGGATCATCAGGACTCGTAATTATCACATCTGTTATCTTGCTCACCCTCATCCTCCATTCAGCACTGATACGCTGAAAGGACGCTCCGCAGTTCACCAATATTCGTTCTTGAAGGTCACACAATAACCCCGTTGGTCCACCCACATAATTCGAATGGATACCAATCGGCTAAATAACACCAGCGGTATATATATAACACCCATCTATCTAACACCCATCTGTATAACACCCAACGTGCGGCTAACCTGAAAATACGTTGGGATACCGGACATTCAGCCAATTTATTTTTCCCCCCCCCCAGAACAATGCTCTCGGGTTCCACCTTATTTTGACAACATCCTCTACCCGTCTTGCGTTCGACATGCATTTCGTAAGATCATACTAAAGAGAAAATCTACTCTTAAAAAAAAGCCTTGTCTTGGTTTATGACGGCCACGCTCTGTCAAGACACGTTCTGCCAGGACACGTTTCCTGCCAGGACACATTTCCTGCCAGGACACGTTTCGTTCGAGGATGTGTGCCGAACGTATTGCCCTGTCGCAGTGACTCATTTCCAGGTCGCATTAACCGCTCCGCATGTACTGTTGCGTCCGAGAGGCGGCATTCTTGGTGAATTTGTCCCAGAGTTCTAGGAAGCCAGCGCCCATGGAATGGTTTTTATCTTCGATGAGCAGTTGTACGAAGCGTGCTTCGAGTGGTTCGCCTTGTTTGCAGATGATGAGTGGTAGGTAGCTGCAGTGTTGTTTCCGGAAGTAGGTGACGATGTTATGTAATTTTTGTCCCGGTAGTGTGGTGGCAGGGATATTATCCCAGGCGTAAGAGTGGACTTCTTGGGTAGAATTGACGCCGAAGACTGCACGAAGCCAGTCGGAGCTTACAGCCCGTCCGAGCCAGAGCAGAAGGTGTTCGGCGTTGGCGAGTAGGTAAGCACCTTGTGGGTTTAGCACACGATTGGTGAGGCGGTAAGTGCCGGGTAGACTGCAATCCCCGTTGTCTAGCATAACTCCAGCTTGGGGCGGAAGTTGGCTGATCTCTAGCAGTTTGGGTAAGACGTAGCTGACGACCTCGGCGAGAGTAAAACTGCGCAGTCGGTTCCAAGCGACGACTCGTTCGTCAGCAGACACGTCACGGCCGTCGCGGAATGCGGTGCTTTTGATGAGACCCGCACAGAAGAGTGTGGCCTGTTGAATTGCGTTGCCAGCGTCAAGTGCGTAGCTAGGGTCGGCCGTGGGTGGCGTTAACGGGGTAATTAAGCTTAGTAGCGACACCAGATGCCCGGCTTGCGAATGGATGTAACCGCGTCCGTCCGCCAGCTTTCCCGCGTAGCATTCGTCCATGGCGTTGTGTGCAACCAAATACATCGTTGCTGGCACATTCACGCCCGTGGCGATGTCACGTAGATTTGGCGAGGTCGCCATGCAGTGATTCACCACCCGGATCCGTCGTTCGCCAGCGCTCGTAGTGTAAAGCACGGCGGCCTGCACATAGCACTCCTTTTCAATCGTAACACTTTCGTTCGGTTCGAACTGTACCGAAACGGTATGCTCCTTAGCGAAGCTGGGTAACATCAACAAGTCCACACCTCGGAAACAGTAGTTACCATGGTATTTGGTGATCTTCCATGTTTTCGTGCATCGAACACGCATTACACCTTCCCATCCAGCAACTCCCGCCACCGCCTGATCCACGTCATGAGCCAATTTAGATAAGTAAACTTCGCCACTAAACGATGGGTAATAGTACACCTGGCCGCCGGTATTTCGCGCCAACTGTCCGATCGTCGCCACGTCCATAGGTACTGGCAACGCTGGCGCCACAAACGTGTCCACCGCAATCTGCAATTGCGCTAATTGTGCGGCCAACGAACTAAAGAAAGGCGAAGACGGCTTCACACCATCCACCGGATCCGGCAACGCGTGGTTCGTCGTAGACCGACCTTTACTATCCTTCTTCCGCATGTCATGAGAGGGATTTAAACCCAACTCAGGAGCCAGTGGCAACGTACTCTGACATAATAAAATCTTACCACCCACTGGCCGCAAAATCAGCTTCGCCGCTGTCAACGCACCTGCCACTGATGACTCCTCAGACACCTGATCCGTCCAGTATGAATTCAAGTTGTCTAACAAACTGCAACACATGTCTCACACGAACGGGAGGCGACCAATGGAGGGGACCAATAGGGGAGAGTTACTGCAGGGGGAAGAAAGGGGGAAGAAAGGGGAGAAGGGACGCAGCCTTACTGAAGAAGCTTATCCTTGTTGTCCTTAATATGAATCAAAAGATCATTCGACGGCAGAAACACCTCGCCTGTGCTGCCCGACACGACGGAAATCTACGAGAGTTCGTGTGAGGTGACCACAATTGTGTTCGCGGGGTCAGTACGATCGTGTGTGTGTGCTCGATCGTGTGTGTGTGCTCGATCGTATTCGTGCAATAACCCGACAGTGCATCTGAGTGCGGTAGAGTTGCGTGGAAACATTCCTACGTGTGGTATTTCTGAGCCGGGTGTATAAAAGTATATGTTTGCGTCGTAGGTCATGATGCATATTTGTGCCCGTTCAAGTCCGGGGAATTTGTCAAGTTCGATGAGTTTTCTAAAGCTCTGGCATACGCTGTGAACGAAGCCTGATTGTACGGCAGGTTTGGAGACGTCAAGGAGTAGTACGTATGCGGGTGCCATTGGGGGTCGAGTCATGTAGTCGGGTGTGGCAACGAATTCGACGGCGGCCTGTGAGAGTTCAGGCTTCTCAAACTTGTCTTGGCGTTCACCGTTAGCGAGTAGTGAGCAGTAAAAGTCGTTGGGCACGTCGTTGATATGTGCACATATGTTGCAGCCCCATTTGCTGCCACCGTCACGGAACTCGACATAGCAATTAACGTACGCACGGCATTTAGCGCAACGGATCAGCTTCTGAGTAGGCGGATTGACGACCGGCAGTTCTTCTTTCATGAGGGTGTACACGGCACCGAGCGGTATATTAGCACGTCCTCGCACACCTTGTGAGTTAGGGAACACGCTCGCACTCACTTGGACAAGAGATGCGCTCGGTTGAGGTTGTGCTGAAATTAAAGCCGGTGCGCCTCCAGTAGGGTACCCGGTCGGGTAGGAGGTACCAGCCGGGTACGGGCCATGTCCCGGTTCAGCCCGCTGCGTCCCGTAAGTGGTTGCAGGGTATCCCGCTTGTCCGGAGTACGGTGGTTGTCCACCGGCGTGTGCTCCACCGGGATACGGGGGCGGCTGTCCGCCGGCAGCGGCACCGGCATACGAAGGGACTTGGTTGGGAGGAACCCGCCCACCACCTGACAGAGACCCACCGGCGACAGAACCTGACGCCATGGCAGCCTGCGAGCCACTCGCGTCGTAGGAGGCGCCATACATGCCGCTCGTTTGCTTCGCCTGCCCGTAAGATCCGGCACTGCCCCCCGGGGCAACGTACCCTTCAGCCGCAACACCGTAACCTGCCGGCAACTGACTCCGACTCCCCATCGACTGACTCGGGACCGTCATGCTCGGACCGAACTGACTAGTCGGAGCCGGGGTCGGTGCTCCAGGCGCGGTCACACCATACTGACTCGGCAGTGTGTGCGCGTTCAACTGAGACTGACTCGCCGGCGCCTGGTACTGCGTCTGCGCCGAGACGGGGTTCATACCCGGCTGGAACTGACTCGTCGTCGGGTAGTATGCCTGATACGGCCCTTGAGAATATGGAGTCGTAGACTGCGAGGAAGCAGCATAGGGCGTCGTCGCAGGCTTCGGACCATTCATAATGGCATCAAATTTCGGTCAGAAAAAAGCAAAATACAACAAGCTTCCTTCACCGCGTTCCCATATCAAACACGTTCCCAGTGCGCGCGCTAATTCACGTGCATGCCAACTAATTAACAGGTGTGCTAATTCGAGCATGGCGGGCTCATTCGCGAGGAAGAAACTTGTTCGCGAACATGACGGGCAAGCTCGCGACAAAAAGAACAGGCATGCCGTCGTCATTGCTAGATGCGCGCCACCAGCCTCAATGGCGGCGGCAGTGCCAACCGTCACTGTGCTGAGTTCCCCACTGCGTTCAGTCCTTTACTGTGGTCACCCGACCGCGACCCCTGTTTGGTCGGACCAAACAGGGGTCGGACCACCCTGTTCACAGAGGCAGTAGGCCTGCGCTGTCTTGGGACAATAAATCAGTAATAATAATCAGGTAGGAATTGTGTGAAATCAGTGAGTGGCCTATGGTGTTGGACGACCAAGCCGGCGAGGCCGGGTGCACGTCTGAAGGACCCCCAGCACTGATTGGCCTGGAAGACGAGTGCCTGTCCACCTTCCATGACGTTGCTGACGCGCTTGAACATTTCGGTCAAGTTAGCTCCAATAGTGTAGGAGTAGTCATGGCGGACGAGGGGGAGTTTGAGCCCCTGATCCATGATAGAATAACCGGCTTCGTAGTGCGCAACGGCAGTACCATCCGGCATGAGACAACGGTTGGTATAGGCGTCCCAATTGAGACTTGAGTATGGCCAAACACTGACAAACGCTGGACTACCGTTCACGCAATCCGCATTCCCGGGCTTCTCCACGTTAGTTAACAAGTCGACCTCCACCCACAGCATTCCACGACTCGCCATTGACGCCTCTAATCCTAAACGCGGGTCCTCATCCAAAACCATCACATAGTACCCCGAATTCGACTCGTCACAACCTCGCGCCAACGTCTCGTACCCCTCCCACCACTCGTACAAACACTCCAACGCCTCCCGGTTACCCAAACAATTCGCTATGTCCTCCTAAACCACCATGTACGTATGCACAAAAGTGTGTGCACCAAAGTGTGTGCACAAAAGTGTGTGCACAAAAGTGTGTGCGATCAGGTGTTCGATCATGTGCTGTTTAGTAATGTGCTATTCGCCGGTGTGCTGTTCGGGCATATACTTTTTCGTGGTACAGGATGCAGTCGTCATAGCATATGATCTTGCATGTTTTATCAGTCATTTGCGTCTCAGCGGGGTTTCCGACGTACCTGGCTGAATCACATATCAACTCATTTTTTCTGGCTGGAATCGTTGAATTCCGGTAGGTGATTGCCCGGCTTAGGACCGTGGAGGCGCAAGTGAGAAGCAGGACCACGAAGCGCATTAATTTTAAAAGCCCACGGATGAAAACGAACCCAGACGCAACACAGTTTTGGGACGAGGACATCTTCCCTAATTGCCTCGCTGACCTTACTTGCTATGACATTGATGCGGAGCTGCGTACAATGCTGAAGAGATTCATGAGAGCGACTGTAGCAATATGGTGCAACATGAGACCAGATCTTGTCTCCGAGCCTATTGAGACTACACAAGTTGATACTGCTCATGCATCCGGAGAACCCCTGTCCACACCGGCCGGAGAGTCCCGATCCACTGTGTCTAGCCCCCTAGTCCCAGTAAGTCCCGTTGCTGTGGATAGAAGCCCTGTGGATAGAAGCCCAGTGGATAGAAGCCCAGTGGATAGAAGCCCAGTGGATAGAAGCCCGATGCATAGCAGCCCGTCTCCCGGATCAAAAAACAGTTTTGGAGACACGCAATTGGCCATTGACTTGTACGCGGAAAGTTGGATGCAAGCGGCCGCCCGTTACAGCGAGACGCCGTTAAAATTCTTTGCCAGCGAAGAGAATCCGGAGCCAACATTTTTGAACGAAGATGGAAAGTACTTGGCGTTCTGGGACCCTCTGGATGGCTCCTCGATAATGGATGCCAACTGGTCAGTTGGAACCATTTTAACGATTTTAAGAAGTGGTTGGAAACTGGGTTCACCAGCACGGCCATACGTTGAGGCCTCGCTGGTGGCGGTTCATGGCCCTGTGCTGAACATCTTACTATGCCTTCGAGGTCCTTCTTCGGAACAGAGTCCGTTCGTACTTTCGAACTTTTGTTATTTTAACGATCGATTCATTCTGGACACACCTCAGGCAGGCAGTCCCCAATCGGCCTGTTACATGGCGGCGATCGAGGACGCGGACCGTCCCAAGTACTTTGCTCCCGCAAACCTGAGAGCCGCCCATGTCCTCCCCAAGTACCGCGCCATTGTTGATGAGTACATCGACCGCGGCGCAACCCTCCGTTATTCTGGGGGCCTTGTGCCTGATATTTACCACATCCTGATGAAGCGTAACGGCATTTATATCAGCCCCAGTTGCACCGGCGCCCCGGCCAGGTTGCGGATGCTGTTCGAACTGGTGGCGATCGCCCATGTCATGGAGGCAGCACAAGGCAGTGCACACAGCATCACTTTTGGCGCGGGAATTTTGGATGTGGAAATCTGCAGCTACGAAGATAAGACCGACCTGATCGCGGGATGCCCGTCGGCGGTCACAAGGCACTTGGCCGCACTCACGACATAGCGTTACAACCAAAAAAATGTTGTGACGCATCTCACAGGTGACAGATCTCACAGATAACAGATCTCACAGGTGACAGATCTCACAGGTGACACACGATTTATCTCGGAACGGGTCCAGGGAGGGGATCATATCTGCCTATATCATTAGGTTTGCCTATAGCCTTGACATAGAAGCCAATTTGGCGTAGTTGTTCGTGATCGAGTATCAGTCTGCCGTCGAAAATGAAGGCGGGTTTTCTCATCGTGTGATAGAACTTTTT